TTGCCAGACAGGATATGCCTTCCTTTAAGTTGTTGGCCAGGGTGTCCCAAGAGACTCCCAGACAGTAACCCAGCATAGAACTGGGAAAATGAACAGCAGACCCCAATCTTATCTAAAGTAATATTGGCAACTGATTGCTGCTAGATAAGGAAAAGCTGATCTTCTTAAAACAAGGAACTCTAGATAGGCTGACTAGATTCAGCAGATGGACAAGCACTGGGGAACAGCTGGGGGCGCCGACAACACAGTGGACAGTGACAGAGTGTATGGGCTCCAGTGGAGGGGGTAGCTATGGGAGGGTGCCATTTGGGAAGTGGGTATGTAGATGAATAAGATTGTTTGGGACGTTCTGTATGAAATACACACAAAAAAATCAACAAATAAACAGTTATATTAAAAAATAAAAAATGGAAAAATAATATATAAAATATTTTAAAAAATTCTCCTCTACTTCCTCATGATTATAGCATCATGTTCCTTTCAAAGTCTTTATTTCCTATTTAAACACTTGTTTGTCTAATGTTCTCCTTACATTCCTTTTGCCCATTTGCATTGGACCATTTAAACATCAGGGCTGAAAGGGACATTGCAGAAACAAGAGTTAACTGTGAGTAATGACGCTCAAAGATTTGGGGCATTGCATTAGTCATGACATTCTACAAGCTTCTTATTCTCTTCTTTTTTGTGTGCCTTCAAAATATTCAGATTTTGTTGTAAAATACTGAAGGCAAAAAGACATATTCAGAAATACCCCTTTTCCTACACAGAGACCGGTGACTGCCAAGAAGACTCTGAAGGTGACCTTGATCAGAAAGACTGCATTTCTAAGCTCACCTGTCCCTTGTAGTCAGTCTTCTATTAATATCCTTCTCTGTGAATGGGATTTTCTACACTGTCCCTTGCATGTCTACCCTGAGTCCCCATGTAGGGAGATTTCTAAGGTGATGGATGGCATGTTCCCTGCAGAGTCTTTGGAAGGGAGAGTGAGCAGAAGCTACACAGGTACCATTTCCTGCAGCTCAAACCCCACCTGCAGTTCTACCTTTATATCATCAAATCAATGTTTGTTTTGCCATAGTAGAAATTCAATCTAGAAATGAACCTTTCCATGTATAGCAATTTATAACATCGCCTGAAGCTTAGCGAGGTAACAGAGAGTGGCTGTACAACCACAGATGTATTTATTGCAAGGTAGAAAGTCATCGTTTTATATAACAATTTCTATTCTTTTGCTATGGTTATTATAAAAACATCTTTATGTATTCAAGCCAAAGGCTGACATGCTGTATCCAGGTTAAGGAGAATCTAAGATAGCATAATTATTCCTCATTTATAAATCAACTGTGATAAAGCATGTTTTATAATATTCCATTGTAATACCAAAATGCCATTTTCCCTTATTAAAATAAATGTAAGCCAAGCATAACTTGTAAGGTCACAAGCCTGCATCCCTTTCTTAAAAGTCTTAGAAGTCATGCTGGTGGCTCATGTCTTCTACCCCAGCACTTGGGAGGCAGAGGCAGGCAGGACTCTGTGAGATCCAGGCCAGCCTGGTCTACATAGTGTGTTCCAGGTGGCTAGAACTAAGGAAGCCATGTCCAAAAAAAAAAAAATCTTAGGACTCATGAAGGAAACCCAAGCCTAATGTCCCTAAATGAACATATTAAGATGAACAGACCCCAATTCCATTCTCCCCACACCCTCAAAAATAAATGTTACCACAACAGAAGAAAAGAACGGTGGTCATGTAACTGACATCAAATGGGTGAGCTCCACTGAGTGAGAACACAGAAACTAACTTTATTTAACTCCCACACTCTTTCAGCCTCCCCTGACCTTGCCTGCATCTGGATGTTATCTCAGGCACATGCTTCATTTTAGTTTTCCTCAGCTGTAGGCCAAATTCTAGCCTTTCCAGGGCCATTTCATAGCTTAGGCCCATTTCCTGTATCAAAATTTAAATTGTGACATCAACATGGCTTCTCCCTCAACCCCCATAGCCACACCCCCTTCCACACCTTTCCCCACAGATGGCCTGAGAGTACATCGTGCTTCCGCTGAGCTTTGATTGGTCTACCTCCTCATGACTGGCGCATGATCAGCGTATGATCCCCAATGCTAGATAGAAGTATGTGATCCGCATGACCTTTGCTACCATTGGTCCACAATGGGTGCCCTTTCATGTTACTGGATGATTAGGTGTATATATACAGCCTGCTGAAAAATACAGTTCTGCCCTCTGATGTGCTCCCGGAGTGGTCTTTGCTCCGCAAGCCTGGTTTTTCTGGTACGTGATCCCCACCATGGGTAACTCTTCTACCACCATCGCTGCCA